ACACTCTACAATTGTCTACCATATGGATTGTTCTAGAACATTCCATATGAGTCTAGTCTTAGGGAAAACCTTAGAGTTCTCTAGAACCTTGTGAATAGTTTCATAGAGTAGTCCTTTGTAGAAAACTCTAGAAACTTATAGAGTGCTCACACTTTGTAAGCATTCTCTAGAAAGTTCTAGGATAGGTAGAACTCTATAGCATTCTAGAATGTTCATGGGAGGTCCCCTTGGCCTATAAATAGGGGTGGTCCCCTCATTTGTAGGGACCAACCAAAAATATTGGAGTGTAAACAATTGTAAAGGTTTACCCTACTTAGTGAAGCTCTTTTCACTTTTCTCCCTTTCTCGTGTGTTGCTACTCTCATTTCTTTACTTTCACTTTATTAGCCTTGCGTTTGCGTGAAGTTAGGCTTGTTAGCATAGCTCAGGAGTGCTAATGCCGCACGGTTACCTTGTAAGAAGAATAGGTCCGTGACAGCCCGCTCACCTCTCTCGGACTGTAGTCCTCCCTCAACGACGCGCTGACATAATAGACTTTGTCAAAGGACCCGCTGATTAATGTACCTTGTAATGATTTTTTCGGTTGGGTTATGTGATCAGATTGCAGGAAGAACAAAAAAAAAAAAGTTTTCTTGTGTGTGTGATGATTGGATCGCAATGGAGAAATATTTGCTCTTTTGCGTTTCTCTGATCTCTGTTGTATGATGGAAGAAACAAAGTTGGTGAATGCACTTGTGAAAAAATGGACTTACCTTCTTTAATTTTCTAATTGGTTCTTAAAGTTTCTAAATTTGTTTGCAAGAGAAAGTGTTCAGTTTTTACTTATTTCCCATGGGTATGATTTGTGTCTTTTTTTTTCTGGTTTCAATTCTCATTTGGATTACTTTTGATCTTGTTTGATGTTGCCGGTCATAGTTTGTCGCGTATTTCTGGGGGTGAGTGGTAGCAACTGGAGCCGAGATTCGTCGCGGGAGTGGCGGGGCTTTGGAGATCAGCAGGCGCCGTGTACGATGGTAATGGTGGTGTCGATGGAAGACGTCGGGGCGTGGTGGAGGTTTGCGGCGCGTGCACCGGCAGTGAGAAGTGATTGTTTTGTAATTATTTTTATAAGTTTTGAGTTAGAATTAGGTGTAAGAGGGACCACGTGCACCCTCACTCAGATCAATTATAGACCGTCGGATTGAACCTTATTGGTAGGATCAAACCTTATCGGTAGGATCAATTTACTCACCCTACCATAGACATGTCCCTATTTCTTTTGATATTAAATTGGAATTTTCTCTAATATGACACTTTTTTTTAGGTCTCGTTCATTTAACCGATTTGAGTTTATAATTTAAGTTTTGTTATAGTAAAGTCTCGTTCATTTCATCGATTCGAGTTTTCAGTTTTAGGTTTCTACAGTAAAAAGCTCTCAGAAAATGTCACATCTAACTTTTTCTGCTACAGTGAATAGCTTTCAAAAAATGTCACATATCAGCTCAAATTGAAAACTCGAATCCGCGAAGTAAACGAGGCCTAAAAAGTTCTTAAAAATAGTTACATTAAACTTTTTTGTTACAGTAAAAACTCTCAAATAAAATTACATCTCAACTTAAATCAAACACAATTCGGTGAACTAAACGATCGTTTTTAGTTATTAGTCGGTTGTGCAGCTCAAGCGAAAAGGTAAGAAATAAATCTGCAAGTTCCGGAAGTTTTCTCCTGTCTGGGCAAAAGGAGAATTTGCTTTCCAAGTCAAAAGAGTTCCACCACACTACACTTGGCTCTACACAATTACAGAGCTAACCCCTGTCCCTGGCAGAGCTAAGGGGGCTTCAATCGTTATTCTTTATCCCCATCTTCGCCTAGGCTAATGGGGGCTTACTTATTCAGGGGGGAGAGTGGTGCCTCGAGAAGCAATGTTGAGAGGGTGATCACTGGCCTCGCCTGTGGTCTTAGATCAGAAAGGTGACCACATCTAGTTCTGAGGTTCACCTAACCTAACTTGATGACACGCAATCTAAATTTCTCTCACGTTTGATTGAAATCGTGTCGTGTTACGTGTAGAGGCTAAAACAATCTAACTGTACTTTTTCATGTAATTTGTGTATGATTTTTGAAAGAATCGTACGTGGAGAAAAAAACACATTAAAAACAATAATTTTTTTTTCTTTTTTACTACCTTCGTCTGAGTTCGAATGTTGGGCTCAAACCTAAATCCAGTTTTGAAACCCAAATGCGATTTCGTTTCTGTCACCATCTGCCGGGCGTCCACTTCTGGGTTGCAGGATTGGATGGCGGGAAAATTGCCCTAATTTCATTCCCATGCCCTTGAGAGAAAAAAAAATTCCTAATCCATTCCCGGCCCGTTTGATCCTTTGCCTTTTTTTTCTCTCTTTCTTTCAATGCCGTCATCGTATGCCGACCGCCAAACCTCTGCCAAGTCCTGGGGGAAACTTTTTCCAGTCATATTCATGTGCTTCTCTCTCTCTCTCTTTTTTCTTATTTGCATTAGTTTCAAGTTAAAATGAAAGATCCCATTTTTTATTGTTTTGATTTTTGAGAGGATTCTAAAGGAATGTAGTTGTTGATGTTTTTAAAATTTTGAATATTGTTTTTTTTTTTTTTTTTGGTATTTCTTTGAAAACTTGCCAATGGGAAGTAAAGAAAATGAAGGGATGGGGATTGAGGAGGAAGAAAGAGAGAAGTGGTTCCGGCGGAAAAAGAAAGAATCCAACCTCAAGCAAATATTAATTAATTTCTTAAAATAAAGTGAGCCCCGCTTAAAACAAATTGACAGCCACACCGACTTAGAGCCGGCAATTTCAGAAATAGCACGATAAAACGATACGAAAATGACACGAGATAAATAAATTTGGATCGCATGATTATTAATTGAGTCGTTAATGAGTTGACACGAATAACACGGAAATAAATAGACTGGTTTCGTACTAGCCCGTTTAACACGTTTAAGCCCATTTAATTAAGCAGACAATTAATATTAATTTTTAATACAATATAAAATTCTACTTTTTTTACTACTTGGGTTATAAACGGATCATAAACATGTTTTTTTTCGTGTCGACCTGTCACGGCCCGTTTAGTAACCATGTTTGCGTGTCGTGTCGTGTTAACCGTGTCGTGTTCGTATTAATGTTTCTGACACGCTTATTAATCGTGTTGTGTTCGTGCTCATCGTAATCGTGTCGTGCATTATTTGTGCCGGCCCAAACACGGCATGATTGCACGAATTGCCAGCTCCACACCGACTGTCCATGAAGAGGCTTTACTCTTTCATACTCTCTCTTTTTTTTTATAAAGATTTTAGACACCTTATTCCCACAATTATAGACACAAGGGGAACACGTGAAACATCGTTCAATTTGCATATTCAAGTTTCAATTCGAGTTGAGATGCGATTTTAGATGAGAGCTGTTCACTATAGCAAAAAAGTTAGATGTGACTTTTTGTGAGAGTTTTTAACTGTAACAAAATTAGAATTAAAAACTCGAATCAGTAAAATGAACAATGCTATAAAGTGGGGGGCCTAAGTGCCAAGAAATATTGGCAATTTGACTACTTTTTTCTTGCTAAGAAGCAACTTGAGGGAGAAGGGAAACGGAGCAAATTTTATGTTAGCACTTTGCAGTAACAAAGTAGAAATATTTGTAAGAGGAACTAATTATAACTGTATCAAGAATTTAATCAAAATTAATTGTTTGGGTACTAAAAATTGTCAGCAATGTGATTCCATGTCTTAAAATATTGCATATAGTAACCACATTATCACGGTTATTAAAGATAATTTTCTCAATATACAAAAGTAAAGAGTATCATTAATTAATTTATCTCTAATTCAATTGTGTGACTAATTCTTGACAATATATATAAGAAGAAGTAGAGTTAATACTAATATTAAAAGTAGATAAACTAATACGTATGTGTTATTTATTCTACGTGATGAAAGGCTTTAAAGTTTGGATTAATCGTATTTTTCAGAAAGTAGTATTGTTAGAGGTATTTTTATAGAAAGTAGTATTTTTAAAATTTTGAAGGTTTTAAGATATATTTTTAATTTTTTAGGGGGACTATATCTAATTTGCTATGTATACATATATACTTATAGATACATATAGGCCTTCATCCTGTATGTTAGTTGAGGGATTCAAAAGTCAAGATTTTAAAATTTAGAAACCAAGTGCCAAGAGCTCAAAAATTTGAGACCTGTGTGCAATAAATCCTAAATTTTTTATTCTATCCTCTATTCGTCGGAAAGAATCCTTAATATGTGTACTGTGCCTACTTATCTTGATTGCCAAGCTAATGACTTCTGTTTTCACTAATTCATCTTAACTTTTTGTTAGGCACCTTATTAATTCGTGGATTATGCATGGAATTCTAAGTTATTCATATTTTGACTTAGACTTTTAATTCTCAATTCTCTCCTATTTTAATTTTTCCCTTACACTTTTGAAACGTGAGAAGAGAAATAAGAAAACAAAAAAAAAAACAAAAAAGGGAGGAGTCAAGGGGGAACCCGCAACCCGTTGGATTAAGGAAAAAGCTTTTTATCTTTCGGTACCTTGCATTTCAAGGTATTCGTGAAGTATAATTGTTGGTTTTTGATTACTGCAAATGTATACTTTAAAAATATGGGTACAAAAAAGTAAGATTATCTCTAATGCAAATACTAATTACATATTTAATATAAAAAAGTATGACATGTTATGTTATTTTTATTTTTACTTCAATGCATAATGTTATTTGAAATGCTAAATATATTTTTTGTCATAATCATTATGCTTTAAAAGTTGTAAAAATAAATTTTTATTTTTAAAATAACTAGAAAATACAAAAGTTGTAATAATTACATAAAAAGTAAATATTTCAACTAATAACAATCAAGTGTCAAATTTCTCATATGTTATATTTAGTGAGAAATTTGCTACAAAAGTATATCATATGGAAAATTTAGCACAATAAATAGCATTATATTAGAGAGTTTTTTTACATTCAAGTATTAAATTTACAATTGACACATCAATTATAGAATATGCTCTAAAATAACTCAAGAGAATACCCAAGCATTACCTTTTAAGAGGGAGAAAATGCAGAGCATCCAGTCATAATAAGCAGTTTTACATCTTAAAAAGCAATTTAAGAATATGTTTACAAGTCATAAGCTAAAGCATTAAGAAAATAAAAGAAGAGAAAACTAAAGAAAGCTAGTATTTTACTATTCTAGTGTAACTAAGCCAAGTACTTTAAGCTCTACCTCTATATCGCATTTGTCATCCACCAGAAAACCATTTTCTAAATCTTTAAATTTGGCTTGAGACATGAAATCGCGGAAACCTCGAGCAGCAGATGATATCAGTTTGCTATCTGAGAGAGAGAGAGAGAACAAATCCCAAAGACCAAAACTTGTAAACTTCTTGTGAGAGCTATAACAATACCTAGTTAGCACGACGAGAAAAGAAATGAAGGAAAAAATAAAATATGAATAATTGATAGTTGAGATATCACTCACCACTTCGTTCAACATCATTGCCTTTCTTTTGGTCTACCACGCGGAAAGTGTAATGCACAAATATTTTAGAGCCAAATGGAAGAGTTGAAGAATCCAATTCTACAGCCAAGGTAATATTGTTGTTCCTCTTGCCTTCCTCTTGGTATCCATTTGGATATAACAAAAACCTCCTGAGACAGGACAAAAATAGACCAAATCAATATCATAACAATGTGTATGCCGATTACCGAGTTTTACATAATATAGATAGACAAAGACGGACATTTCCATACCATTTGTAGTCTCCAGCAACAAATAGTTCGGTTTCATAACATTGACATTTTGTTTTCGAAACATTAGCGAAAGTCCAAGCAATCTTGCGAGTCGGAGGATTGTTTATCATTGATAGACTCTCTGCTTTAGTTGTAGTTTTAACGATGAAGACCTCAACACCGAAACTGCAGGTGTCGTTGACAAGGTAACCATTCGAAGGATCGTTAAAAGATTCCAGATCGATGAATTTGACGATACCCCATTGTGTCTTCAGACAGTGAAATCGCCGTACCGTCACATCTGCATATTGCAAGTTTTAAGTGTCACAGAGTTACCAAACATGCCCTGCTACCTAGTTGTGCAGTAAACTTGATCTTAGCAGCATTTGTTCTTATGCTGAAGTGTACACTAATAGCACGCTTATTAAACCATAAAAGAATATAATGAGAAAGGTAATGCGATAAACTATAAATCTCCATATTATGTGGGGCCCACTAAATCTATATTACTAATTTTGAGCCTTTTTGATTGGCTTAAAAAAAGTTACTTTTAACTTATTTAGTCAAAAAGCCGCTTTCGAACCTGTTTGAATGACCAACCGTAAAGTGCTTTTAACTTTTTTAAGCACTTTTGGAACAAGATATCTTCTTAGTGCTTATGAAAAGCTTTTTTATTTACATTTTTAACATTTTATTTGTGAACAACAAATTAAATATCGCATTTATATCCTTTTATTACATTACTCTTGATAATAAGAAGTGTTTTGATTTTTCTTATCTAAACAAGTTGAAAAACTCTTCTTAGATATAAAAACACTTTTTCATGAACTATCCAAACACAAATTAAAAAGTCTCAACTTATACTTATCTTTTTCTACTACTTAAAAACACAAGCACAAGCTCTCCCAAACAGGCCCTTTGTAAGAAAATACATTATTAAATAGGAAAGTAAATCACTCCTTACTTTTCCTTTGTAAGAAAATGACAACTTTAGGAAGTCGAAGGTTAGTAGTCACATCTTTATCTTGGCATTTAGGTTGTCCATACATAACTGATTTAGCATGAAATAAAGAAATCACTTGTATATAAAAAGTAAAAATTTGAAAGAAGAAGCTACCTTGAGCACTAAAGTACTTGTCCCGACGCTGATCGAATACGAAGAAATTGAAAATTGCATTAACTTCCCAACCAGCACGCAGAGAACTTGTTTCCACCATTTCCAAGTAAATAGAAATATGGCCTTCCCCATCCTTGTTCTTGTCCCCAGTTGGGTAGATACACAAGTTCCTGCATTGGAGGTATGAAAATGATAATGACATAAATATCCTTGCTACAAATAATTAAGGAGAGCTAAATGCAATAACTCAAAAATCTACAGAACTAATTGTCTACTGTAAATCTTGTGTGTTCTTACTTGGGAATTTCACATTTGTAAATTAATTGTCTACTGTAAATCTTGTGTGTTCTTACTTGTTTTCTTTTCGTCGAATTTATGCTTTCGGTAACACTTTCATTACTAAAGCAACCAAGGGATCAAATGAAACATACCATTTGTAGCCTCCTGCTTCAAACTCCGAGCTGTATTTCTCTATCGAAGCTTTTGAGAGCAATGAGAAATTCTCAAATTTGAGCAAATGATGACTCGGTACAGCATCTCTTCCTGAAAAGTAATAATAATAATAACAATAATATTATTACTATTAAACTGTTTAAAGTAGGAGTGAAAAGAAAAGGGTTTTACTGTACCTTGAAGTGGATCCGGAAAAGGGCCTATATTTGGCTGTTGCAACAACTTTGGTGAAGAAGGAAAAGATATTTCAACGGTACTTTCTTTGTGGGGTGGTAAAGAATCTGTAGGAAGATTAGTGTGTGGTGGAGAAGAAGGAGCAGTTTGAAATCCAGTGTCGTAATTGGGATTACGACATTCATCTGAAAAGAGATCGTCTTCAGAGAGGAATATGTTAGGAGGAAGAGGAGGCTTCTCCGGTGGTGATGATGGAGGAGGAGATGCCATTGACAATCACAGAGTTTAACAACAAGTCTTCACTCAAGTCAAGAGAAGTCCAATAGATGTTTCACTGCTTTGTCTTTTTTTATTTTGATAATTCATCATTGAAAAACTCACTCAATAACAATCACCTACTCACTTTGCTTTTTTTTTTTAAATGCATTTAATAATTTTATTAATAGATTATTTTTAATATAAAAAAAAATTTTAATATTTTTTTATAAAATAAAAATAAAAATAAAAATAAAAAATAATTAAAA